TCTGCTAAGTCCATAAAATGTTACTGGTGTGAATAGCTTCAGAGATGACTGTTTGGCACTGGACATCTAATTGGTGTGCCCTTCATGAAGCTGGCCCCCTTCAGAAGGGATTTTCTTGACTGGGTCATTTGAGAGGGATCCTTTGGGGTCAGATGACCCACCCTAAATTTGGGCCACACCTTCCAGTGGAAGCCTGCATAAAAGATCCTTTGCCTTTGTCTGCTCACCCTCCCTTTCTCTGGCAAGTTCATCCATCTTGCTGCTGAGGCATTTCTTCACTGGCATTACAGCCTACTTCTTTGGGATTTCAACATATACTGAGGACCAGCTTAAACAGCCAGCTTTGTGAACTGAACAACTACGGGGATCTTGAAGGTGGTAGGGATTAAACCGTAGCCTTTGTTTATGCAAGGCATATGCTCAGTAATTGCTGATCTACAACCTCCCTTCCTATATCCTATATTTTATCAGACGGGGCTCTTTGCATCCAAGGCTGACTATGAATGCCCTACGCTGCTTAGGATGACCTTGAACTTCCGATTCTCCTGCCTCTGCTTCCAGGGTGCTAGAATAAGAGGCGTGTCCCATCACATGCAGTTGTATATGGTCTGGGAAGCAAACCCAAGGGTTCTTATTTGCTGGGCCAAGCATTCCACCAAGTGAGCTCCACTCCAATTCAGCCCAGCTCTGCTGCCCCACAATTCAACCCACACATCCTAACTCTTTGAGAGAGCCTGCACACAGGCACACACACACACACATATGCACACACGCGAACACAGACGAACACACACCAGAAGCTACAGAAAGAAAGAACGGTTAAATGTCAAAAATATCAAACTGTGTCCAGAACATAAAGTTGGGTTTGGGAAGGCAGCTGTGACGGCCATTCTTGACTGTCAACTGGATTCCAGTTATCTGGTATTATCTAAAACCCCAAAATGAAAAAGCACACCTGTGAGGGATTCCTTGCTTAATTTTAATCCTGATCCGAAGAGGGAAGCCCCGCCTCTAATCCAGGCCACACCTTCCGCTGGAAGCCTCTATAAAAGGCACTGGAACTAGGGAGCTTTTGCTATTTGCCTGTTACTGCCTCGCTGAGAAGTCCATTCCTTCACTGTCCTTACGGTCTACTTCTGTAGAATTCTGGCCTTTACTGAAGACCAGCTGAGACATCCAGACTCGTGGACTGAAAAACTACGGGACTTTTGGACCTTCCATTCATAGGCAGCCATCTTTGGACTAGCTGGACTTCAGCTAGTAAGTCATCTATCTAAACTCATCTATCTATCTATCTATCTATCTATCTATCTATCTATCTATCTATCTATC